TTCCTGTCTTTGTGGTATGTTTGACACTATATCCCCGTAAGTGTGACATGTTTGACACTATTTCCCTACCATTGTTACAGGTTTGACACTATTTCCCTACCAATGTGACATGTTTGACACTATATCCTCGTAAGTGTGACATGTTTGACACTATATTCCCGTTAGTTTGACATGTTTGACACTATTTCCCTACCATTGTTACATGTTTGACACTATTTCCCTGCCAGTGTGACATGTTTGACACTATATCCCTGTTGGTGTGACATGTTTGACATTATTTTCCTGTCATTGTGACATGTTTGACACTATATCCCCGTCAGTTTGACATGTTTGACACTATTCCCCTGTCAGTATGACATGTTTGACAGTATTCCCCTGTCAGTTTGACATGTTTGACACTATATCCCCGTTAGTTTGACATGTTTGACACTATTTTCCTGTCTTTGTGGCATGTTTGACACTATATCCCCGTAAGTGTGACATGTTTGACACTATTTCCCTACCATTGTTACAGGTTTGACACTATTTCCCTACCAATGTGACATGTTTGACACTATATCCTCGTAAGTGTGACATGTTTGACACTATATTCCCGTTAGTTTGACATGTTTGACACTATTTCCCTACCATTGTTACATGTTTGACACTATTTCCCTGCCAGTGTGACATGTTTGACACTATATCCCTGTTGGTGTGACATGTTTGACATTATTTTCCTGTCATTGTGACATGTTTGACACTATATCCCCGTCAGTTTGACATGTTTGACAGTATTCCCCTGTCAGTATAACATGTTTGACAGTATTCCCCTGTCAGTTTGACATGTTTGACACTATATCCCCGTGTTTGACATGTTTGACACTATTTCCCTGTCTTTGTGGCATGTTTGACACTATATCTGCGTTAGTTTGACACTATTTTCCTGTCTTTGTGGTATGTTTGACACTATATTCCCGTTAGTCTTGACACTATTTCCATGCCACTATTTACCCATCAGTGTGACATGTTTGACACTATTACCACCC